TTAATTTTACTAGAAAAACACTTTCTTAAAAGAATTCTAATTGGTAATTTTGATCTCAACTTGTATAACTATAAATATTGCAAAGGCCTTAGATAGGTATTAGTTGCATCCCATAATCCCAAATAGGTAGGTACCTACTTCTTACTAGTTTACTCAAGTAGGTACTTTTTGCACTAACAGGCTCTAACTTAAATAACTACTAACTCGATTAATTGTTAATAGATAGTAAAGAGAAGAGTAAATCAATTTAGTTTTAAGTATAAATGACCAACAAACTCTTATAAATTACTTACCTAAGTAATTAGAGCAAAGTAAGTTTATGTAAAGGTAGTGCCTAAGGAGATGTATCTGTGTTCCACGTAACTCTAAAATAAAATAAATTGGCCTTATCCTTGCCTATCCCAGGTAAAAGATGGCAAAGTAGATAGATATCAAATTTACTTATAGGTAGGTAATAAATGTCCTACAGGGTACCTAACCTATTACGAACTAAGACAAACATATTATTATTACTAAGATTATTAATATCTTAATATTACCTCAGAAGTTAACACAACACACTAATGCCTGAACTGAATTGAAAACAAAAAACAGCTAAATGTTTGTAAAATCAATGCTGTGGTATAGCGTCATCTATATTACAAGGGACGAACTACGCATCTAACAGCGCCATCTCTTCTCAACATCTGGTAACATCAAAATCAAGCACAACTACTTACAAAGAAATTTCTATTTCGCTCTTTCGCATGTATAATGACAAAGACAAACATATTCCTCAAGATGTCTTCCAAATTGCCTTTTAAATATTTTTCAGCGCTGATTGGTCAATACGTGAGCGGGTAAACCAGATATTTCAAATTAAACCAATCAGATCAAGAGAGGTGTGTTTATAATACCGGCCATGTTATTTCAGGCGGGGTTTGGCATAAGATCCTCCTTTATATTCCTGACGTATGCAGTCATTTGAGTTATGGCTCATGGCGTAGAAATACGTATTTATAAGAAATCCGCTGAGTTTGGTTGTTACTATAACATTCTTATAGAATATATGTAAGTCCAATGAAAGGCCGATATATGACAAGTATCTATAATCATTATAAATGACATGGTAAGTGGTTAGGAGTATTTTTAGATCTCTGCAATACCTATTGAGTAAGGTAGACAATAATATTTTCTTATATTAAGCCTACCTCTTCATCATATGGGGGTCCACTGCTGAACATAGGTCTAGGTGAGGTCTACTCCTCTAAGATACACTAATGAGAGCGATCTTTAGCTGTTTGGTTTTTACCAGACACTATACCGTCGCTCCACCTAACTACAGGTCGACCTACACTGCAATTGCTGGTTCGCGTTCTCCGCTCCGAAACATATTTACTCCAAAATTCAAATGCACCTCAGTTCCACTGTGCCTCTAGATGTATTCCACTAGACTTGTAATTAAAAATTATTTTGAGGTTCCTTTTTGCCTTAGGTGGGTAGTATTAAAATTTTATATTTTGTTTACTTAAATCTAATATGTATTTCGGATAATTAATAAAAAACAAGGAGCAATTTGAAATTAAGTCTTTTAAAATTGTTAAACTTCAGAATTTATAGGAAAAAAGGACAATATTTTTCTCCATAGTACGCACCTATAAGTTGTATAAATATCAATGACGGCACCAATAGGCCTTCCAAATTATTCAACGGTTAAATAAAACGGTGAAGTATTGAGGTAACATTTAGTAGGTTCAGTGAATTCATTAGCGTAGTTGGGCTTTGATGCTGTTTTTAGAAGGACGTTTCTGCCCATCCCTCGACTACTAAGTTCCCTTAGTCTCTCTTACAACATCCACGGAAAAGGAAGGAGTGGCCCATTCTATCGGAATCATACGGCAAGTTTTATACGTTGCGTAAATGTTATCGACACACTCGATCAAACATAACAACATCGTAAACCACTTGTAAATAAGACATTGACCCATAATTGGCACATTAAATTTCATTTAGAATTTTTTATTAGCACAATGTAGTATATACACAACAGGTGACGGTAGTTTTTACGAGCGGATGAGGCGCGTGGCTCGCCGTAAAACGACGTCGAAATCGTAAAATTGTAAGGAGCGCTTAAATTGCCCCTAATAGAACATTATAGTCCCAATGACGTGTTTAGTTTTATGTGATTTTGAGTGTGGACATGTCTTTATGAATGAGATTGGCTATAAAGCAGTCGCTCCCACGGTGCCAACTCGTTCAGACGGATCGTCTCGCCTCGTACTTACGCTATTATATGAATGCATAATATAAATTCATATTACGAGAATTAAATAGAAAAATAAGTCAAGTAGATAGTAGGTTAATTACCTATACTTACAGGCCATAAAAGATTTCTTTAGATTCTGTGAGTTGAAAATCAGTCTGTGATAATTAATTACATACCTAATCAAAATTCTGTTCTGTTCACATAAAAAGAATTCATTATTATTCGTAATAACGAATCGTCGATGACAAATAGCCATTTTTATATAAAAATTTGCTTACACGATTCATTAGATGAATAAGTAATTAACAATTCGTCTAAATCACGGATGGATTTACTTTTAGGCATGCAAAGATATAAACGTTCATAACTGTTCGTATATAAGAAACAATAGGATTTGTAATGTGGGTCATTGACGATAGGTATATCTTAAATAACGTTAATATATTAATAAATAGCGATTAGGTAATAAAAATATAATATTGACCTTAGGTTAATGATTACAGTAGGCATCTAACATTGTTCTCGGTAGGTCATTTTAGATAAATAGATAAAAATGGTTGTATGTGTCGGTGACACTAGTTAAAACTTTTTTTTTATATTAGGTACTTTGTCCAAAAGTCGTTTGCCTCTGTCCCATTCGTCTTTCAATCGTAAAGCAGTTGTTTGCATGGTTGTGTTTCGATTTGAAGGGTGATATATGCCAGTAAGTTTATGGGGGATATCATAGGCGAAACAGTATACTCTGCTATGTCCATGGTACTGCTCATATCACTTTCCAGCTTGTCCCGTCAGCTTGTTTGCCATTCTAAAGTTGCAAAAAAAAAAATTTTTTTTAAGAATGTAAGATCATAATGAACGATTAGACTATATTCAATTTTCACATGCCTACATCCTATTTCTATATAAAAATCTTTGTGAAACGTAATAAGTTATAATGATTCGTATTAATTTTCGATTCATAATTTATTAATATGACGCTTGCTATGTTTCATAATTTGTCGATGAATGTTGAATGTTGAAATGAAGTCATGGCTAATTTTATATCTACAAATACGTTGATTTAAAAACTATTGAAAAATCTTTTGCGCTTTTTTTATTTGAACCTTAACCATTGCACACTGGGAAATGTTAACTTTTCGCTGCTAAGGACAGGGCGATGATTAACAATTAATGTCATGAAACAATTGGATAAACTAAAATGTTTATGTATTTCTTATATATATAAACTATGTATGCATAGTATCTAGATAAAATAATGATCTACCTCATCAACAGATTGATTGCTATGACGCGATGCATACCGAAACTATTTATAGATATGGAATATTTTTATAATATCTACAATGTATTACAATATCTAGAAGCTTTCAAATCTGACCTATTCGGCTACGTTTTATTCTTGATATCCAATATCTATTACTCATTATTAGGTTCCATCCACTAGGTCCTAGAAATATGAAATGGGAGAAATGATGACACAAATGACAATATGCATTACCACACCCGAGAGTTCGAAGCCTGGGGGTGTTACAATACTCCTTCCTACTATCCCTTATCTTATTATCTTTTCGCTGACACGTGGCCAAACTGGACTTTGTTCCAAATGGAATTGTGATATGAATGTAGTACCTACATATAGTGTGATCATATGAAGTAGAAATGATAGGGGACAAATTGGATTGGTCTCTACACCGAGCCCGCGACTTATAATAAAGTAAACCTCTTGGTATATTCTTCGTTTTCTATTAAATACACAGTAAGAAGATAATAAAGCACCTTTTGGTTTAATTTAGATGCCTATTCTATTGGGATCTTTTAGATTTGGTATTAAGATCTACTTTCGTATAAAAAAAAAATAGAAAGAAAAAACATGTACTACTGTTTTTTTTTTTTTTTTTTTAATTTGAATTTTATAATTTATGAATTATAGGCAGGTACTTATATAGGTTTGTAAGGACAGAAATGCAGTTAATAAATATTGCCAGTATGTAAAATATTTATCTATCTACTTTTAATTATGCATAATAAACTATGCCCATATATATAGGGAGTATTTATCTATATACATAATAATACTTGTATACTTACTTTATCTATAAAAATGCCTTATTTACTGAATATATTTTATTATTAGTATTCGTAGTTAGTTCATTATAAATTCTGAAACCAGAATATTCGACATTTATCAGAAGAACGAACAAGTCGAAGCCGCAAAAAGCTAGCTGCAAACTTGAAGTATCAAACTATGATAAAAAAGATACTCAGATGGTGAACCCGTTTCCTATGAACAAGCAAACACTACAGGATGACTATTCGCTAGATGGAGTGACAGTCGCAAATTTATTGTAGAAATATAATTGAAATGAGTGGCTTCGGAGAGTGAGCCCATTTTGTGATGCATTTACTTCGATCACATAATAAGATTTTTTATATTAAAATTTATATTAAAAACGTAAAAAAATATTAAAAATTTCGAAGTAAAACTATGAAATTAATATAAATTTTTTACTGATTGATTTATATACCTTGCACTATCTTAGTATTAAATAGTCGCTATTCAGTAATCGTTAGTGTATGGTTCAAAATTGAGATATAGGTACTTTGTCCACATATTTCACATAAATGTTCTTAAGGCGTTTAGAGTTTTGTTTGAGGTGATATTTTAGTAAAAATGTTTAGGTACTTAGGTGCCATATTGGTTGAAATGTTATGAATGTACAGTATACATGTGATATATAATTAATTATATATTTACCTGAGTGCTGCTTTGTAAGTGTTCTTCCGTTTCCAATTGTCTTTATTGATCTGTAAAGAAAAAATAAATAAATATTAATTACCAGTATTTTTTACATACAAATAAAATATATTAAACTCAAGAGATCTTGTATATAATTTAAAAAAAAAAACAGTTTTTTACCATTTTAAATTAGATCTTCAGCCATATGTGTGCTGTGTATGATGATGATGAGATATAAAAACTATATCCAATTTAGTGCAGGTGTTTTTGCGTGATGTCGGAACAAACATACAGACAAACAAAATATCTAAAAAGTATTAATTTGGCTTCATTTGCTCTTATTCAGACCCCATATTTATTTTTTCTTAATTACCTTCCATGTACAAACCTTCAATTTTATTATTTTTAATTAGTAAGATAAGGTTATCTAATTCATTGTCTATGATTTGAGTGGGTTATTAACCTAGGTATAAAACAACTGTATATAGTTTAATGTAGATATACAAATACCTATAAGTAGAAATTTATTACAAAATATAAAAAGCTACATTCTCAAAGTAAAAGTTTCTAATGACTAAATTTTTAAACATTAAGATCTGGTACTAATATCCATTAAAAATATGCTTAGATACTTAAATATTTTACCATAAAATTCTTAATTATTTCTTAAAAGAATTAGCTACATATTAAAATATATTATAAGTAAATATATACCTAATAGCTACCTCTAGTTTACGGACTAACAATACAAGAAAAATAACCATTAAAAACACCTTCACATTTGTGTTTTAGCTCTTATCACAACTAATTTAATGTTATGCCTCTCTTATCAATATTGCGAAACCAATTAGAGTCTGGAAAAATTAATGCGATTAAGTGGCTGTCTGACACTTAGTTCGTTATATTCGGAATTACTCAACCAATAGGTACTTAAGTATTTACCATTACCCGATATAAAATAAATAAAAATAAACGTCGCTCGTTAAAGTACCTTTTACATTGTCTCAATGCATTTGCATAAATGTGTTTAAGTTAAATTATTAAAAAAAATATATAAAAAATTAATTTGTTTACAATAAAGTGGTCATGAGGGCGGTCGCGTCGTTGGGTCGTTTCGCGCGTTGCCTACAAACGCGATTTTTATTCGTAACGTTTATTGGCCGTCGGTCGTGCAACATAATAGCGCACTTGAACTTGAAGTGCTAGTGACACCGTTTGATCCAAATCGTGTTTTATTGTCTTGCTCAATGGACGAGCGTTTTACGAGCACGTCGTAATCTGACGCGGCGGTTATAACTCGGATGCGTACTACGCTCTGACTCATGATTCATTTGAATGCACGCCTACTTTCCATTTCAACACCTTTTAGATAATCGTCTAGTGACATACAAATGCTATTTTTAGTTTGGATATTCAGTTTTGGCTTATAAAGATTCTATAAGACATTATGTTGATTGAAATATCGCTTTTATAAGTTTTTTCTTGAACTAGAAAATTAACAGTAGACATAACTTGAGATACCAAGAAGTAAGAATTCTTATTTACAGATTAAACATCTGGCCCTCTTATTTATTAAAACGCGAAATCTTACATAAACCTATTTTAACTATTAAACTATTTAGTCTCTTTATTTTTAGTTAAATTTCCGATTTGAAAGAAAGTGACAAAACAGTGTAGTAATTAAAATAGATTTATATAAGGGTTCAGTTTTTATGAATATACTACTTTTATATAAATATTTTACATATTTATGCTATTTACATAGCAAACGCAGAAAATCAATTAAGTAAGTTGGTATGTGTCCATTATCAAATTCATAATTCGCAATTATCAGAATCTCTTTAATTCACTTTAACTATTCTGCCAATGGAACTGATTGTTTTTCGCAAAGATACAAATTATAAAACATCAAAAAGTTTTAAATTTTGTCTATTTAATAATACGACGCATCCAGATGCATGCATACGATGAATAGGTATGCGAGATTTTTTCGCAGTGGATGTTTTACAATATATATATAATTTTTGTGAGATAATTAAAAGGAATAACAGTTTTTCTGTATGTCTATCCATTTCATATTTCAATTTTCATATTTCGATACAAATATATTCGTAATTCTAATAGTATCTAATAATTATTTTTACAACTAAATAGAATAAATAAAAAATAATAAAGGAGCACAAAAAAACGAAAAATAAAATATAGTATGTAAACCAAATTAACATAAACATAGTTGTTTTTATATAAACTACTTTGATGGAGTAGTATCATGTTTGTTGAAATATTTAGTACGTATGTATCTATTTTAGTTGGCCATAATACAACTTGTGAATGAAATAAAACGTTATTTGCTCTTTGTGCGACTATATATTTAGATAAGTAATTCTACTAATATTATATAAATGTAAAAATTTTAAATGATATACACTTACGTATTATACTTAATGTCAATCATGACGAAATTTGTTTCATTCGTACACCATAAATCGATTTTTTTATTGTAGTTGTATATAAGTATGCAATGCTTCAAAGTGTCACCCTCTAGTATTCAGAGTTTCTAAGCCCTTTCTAGTTTCGTTTAACATTAACGCTTTGACGTAGCTTACCGTTCGAAAACTTTACGTGCTCGAAGCACGAAGCGAATGACAATAATTTTTAAACGATCCAGATGTAGATTAAATTATAAATAGGACTTTGCTGCCCTTTAAGATTTCCGCTTTTATGACAGATTATGTTCTGAGGAATTGTTTAAAATGATACCCAGAGCCACCTTCTGTCATCGTATGACTCACCATCGTCAGGTAATTCATTCTCACATACTATAACATAAAGGTTGCATACAGTGTGACAGAGATCTCTCCCGAAGTGCCGACTACAGTATAAGGTTCTTCAAAAAGGGGGTATTATTTCTTCAAGGTCGGCAACACGCTCGTGACACTCCTAGTGTTGCAGGCGGACATAGGCTACAGTGAACGTTAACCATCTAAAAGGTATGCTTATTTGCCAACTTCATGATATTAAAAAAAAATTCAGATGTCTATAGTGAGATTCAATATTAGAATCCCTGAACCGAGAGTAAATGTGGTTCGAACCAATTATTACTAATTCATCCAATGTTTAGATACAGTGGTATTAGTCATATATCTAATTGATTTATTAACATTCATATATAACATTTCGCCAATACTATAAAACTTGTTCCTTGTAGTAATTTCTATAAAATACCCAAGCTTTTATCTATATAAATAAGTAAGTACATAAATAATGTGTTATAAAGGAAGACCCACGCAACCTTACTTATCATTCTTTAATAACATTTTTCCCAAAGGTGTCTTAACTTACATCGAAGGGCAGAATCGTACCGAACACGTTCAACTCAGGAAAGTAGAATTTGCATTAGATACCCACCCATATTCATATTCTTGAAGGTAACCTTTTTGGGGAAACAAATAATAGGTGGGATGCATCTGCTCACGTATTAAGGGACATCTTTTTATTCGGTTCGGGCTTTCGTAAATATTTTTGTTATTTCCTTGTATACGTCTTGGAGTAACTTCTGTTTTCCGAAGGGTAGGAATAGAGTAAATAATGTATTATGGATAAAGTATCTATAATTTAATGAAAGAATACATTTTCTGGGTTCATATTAATAATAATTAGGTCATTAATGACCTACTAGTTAGATACTTAATTTAACTAGGTATAAAAGTTTTATCTTGATAGCGATTCAGTTATTTGACCAACATATCGTCACAAAGTATATATGAAATTTACATATTTCTTTTTTTAATTTATTAGTCATTTTAGATGAATTGATAGATCTCTAGGTACTATAATATCTAGTTATTTTTTAAAATGGTCGTGACTTTTAATGGTCTTGCGTTTTCATATTTATTCTATGTATCTAAATACCTTTCTGATATAAAATTAATAACTATAAATATTTAAATTAGAACAATATTCAGATACTTAGATGATGCATTTAATAACTTTACCTATAAAGAAACATACATATTATATAAAAGAGAGTAGGTACCTATGTAACTACCTATCGGTATTAATAAAACAGTAATTTAATCTGCCCAAGTACCTACTTACATGCAACAACGCATGGAAAGGTAATTTAAGAATATCAAAACCAACCAATTTATGATCAACCAAGACGAGCTCTCTAAATGCATAAAATGCAATATTGACACCGTTTCTGCATTAAACGTATGCCGAAAACCTCTTAAATACGTGAATAAAATCATCTATGTTATGTGACAGGGTGTATCGTGAATTGGTGACCTTACTTTCAAGTATCTTGACTTTTGCAGACGGCAAATGGCATTTATATAAAATTTCACATTCATTAGGCACTTTTGGTCTCCTCTTGTTTCGTATTTTTTAGCTGAGACAGATATAATGTTGTTATCGCCATACAAGATGGCGCGTTGAGATTGCACTGTGGTAGCGTTCGCATAAAACTAACAATTTATTTTGTTTCCTTTACCTGAAACTACACGCATGCTTTTAAAATGTTAATACCTGAAATTGCGATCAAAAATATAAAGTGGGAGTTTATGTTTCTGTAACATGTAGATATACCTATGTAGTACTTGCATAATGTACCTATATCATTTAATTAAAACTGTAGATACCTCTGTATTTTATTGTCTATTATTTCAGGATCTTGGAGGTCTTTTTAAATACTTTTTCCTTATATACCTCAATTAAAAATAAAAAAAATACGTTAAAAATTCTGTTATATATTTTCTTTTTTTTTGTATATAATGTATATATCCTTTTTTGCATACCTGTCCTTGATTGTGTATGCTGTAAGTGACGCAAATAAATTATATATCTATCTACCAAAATTATTAGGAATTTTCAGTATGAGAAAATGTATTTGGACTTGTATTTATAAATTCGTCTACTGCTTAATTTTCAGAATTGTTGCTTTTATTGTGTACTTATTTCGAGAAGCCTATGTAAAATTCATAATAGACTAGGCGATTTTTATATTGCAAGAAGGTATAGATTTAAGTACTACTATAAATACTGTAACAAAATACTTTGAATTAAT